AGTTAACACAGAGGGAAGGTAGATGACCCCTGAACATGGCCATTCATTCATTTGGGGAAAGAGTAAACACAGCCTTCATCAGCCTCCCTGATACACACACACACACGCACACAGAGCTAGAAGTGCCATCCTCGGTGCTGCTCTAAAGTGTGGGAAAGCTGGTGGAGGGAAGGGTGGCACTGTACATTTCATTAAGGCTAAGCTAAGAGGGGTTCACAAGGCCCATCTCAATCCCTGCCTTTATCAAGGAGAGCAGTGACTCTTAGGGGCAGGTGTCATCTATTCCCCTTCAAGAGATCAAGGAGCAAGATTTCTCCTGCTTCTTAACTCAGAGCCCAGAACACCTCCCACCCCCAAACTTCCATCCACTCAGCTGACACTTCCTGGAGCTTGCGTGGAAAAGTCTAGCCCTATTGCCTCTGTAAACCTATACCCTACAGCTGCATACGGTTCAAAATACAGTGGAGGCAGAAGAAAGGAGTGTTGAACCAGATCCTGGAGTGGGGTCTTTGCAGGATTTTCTCATCTTGTTTTTAAGAGGAGTTTTTGTTGTTTGTGTAATGACAGTATTATGAAAACATAAGGTGCAATTAAGAGACTTGGGATAACGAATGAGTTTGCAATGCCACTGTCAACCTCCCTCCATGCCCCTCCCTTCCAGAAGCTAAAGTGCATACTGGGCACAGCACAGACAGAAGACACTGTACTACCCTGTTACAAGAAAAAAATGTATATATTCGGGAATATTAAATATCTTGGGTGTGCTAAGAGAAAAACATTTTCTCTACATGGATTCAAGTTTTTCTTGGAGACATGTTCTCCTACTAGCAAAGGCTAGAGAAGCATTTGACGGTTGCCCAGGAAAGACACCTACCCGAAGAAGACAGTGTCTTGGGCAGTGCTGGTGGCAGCCTGGGGCACCTGGCATCCTTGGCCCATACTTGCAGGGACTGACTGGAGAAAAAGTCTTCTTGGGGGGCAAGGATGGGAGGCACCTCAGGCTCAGCTGCTCTTCGTTGAATCTAACACTTTTTAAGGACTGTCTGTGTCTGACTTGCTTTTCCCTGACAGAACAACTCTGGCCCTTGGAGGTTGCTTGGCGATTGCAGGCTATATAACTCATCATTCTCCCTTGCTCTGCATAGAGGGGAAGCCTGTGGCAACAAGAACACCCACATACAGGGGCTTGGGGTTCCTGTTTATGCTCAGTTAACTTCGTGGCATGAAGTCCATGGTGAGTCGCCATTTTCTCCTCTAGAATCTGTCCAACAGCTGTCATGAGTGCCTGAGCCTCAGAAGTCTCACTATCCTTAATCGATCTGCTTTTGACTGAGTCTTGGTTCTGGGCAATGGCTGATATGGGTTTGCATTTTTGCAGAACAGCCTGACTTTTAGCTTTTGTAGGGGGGAAAATCCACTGATAAAAGAGCCTCATCCTTTTTCTGAAGGGGCTTTCTAGAGGACCCTGCGTCTTCTCCTGCTTCAACTGGAGGCGTTTGCTCCCAATAGGGTTTACCATTCCCCTGACTTGCATAGGGTGGCTCACATTTGTGGCTTGGGAGTTCCACAATTCAAACTTTTCTTCGTGCTCTCGTATGTTGGGCCTCCTACAGCCCCCTCTCTTGTAAGTAGGGGCAATCATCTTGCTCTGGCTCTTCCAGGAGTCTTGAAGTTTCGAGATCTTGGGGTCCTGCTGCCCTCGGCTGCTCCTTTGGGCTGCCATGAGGCCACATAGCTTCTGGGAAGGTGGCCTGTCTCCAGTGGGCACTTTCTGGGGATCGCACTGGGGCACCTGAGAAGCCAAGCTGTCTGTAGCAGGGAGCATGTGTGTGGGACAGTCTTGAGACTGATTCTCTGACTGCACCTTCAATTTGGACTTAAGCTCACTGAGAACAATTGTATTAAGGCATGGCTTTCCTGAATCTTGGAAAACAGACATTCTAGGGAGTAAGACACTTTTACTGGTGCCTGGAGCCTCTAAATTCCTCATATGCACGTTTATGGTTTGAGATTTTGTCAGCACATTGGTTCCCAAGATGACTCTAGACTGTGGTTGAAGGTCAGGGGACTCTTTGGCCTCTGCTGCCTCACTGGTGTCTTTGGCCCTCAAAGATTGGGATCCTAAGTTCATCTCTAGCATTGTTACCCTACTGCAGGGGTCTTGTGAGGCCCAACCCCCACTCTCTTCCCTTGGCTCATTCCTGGCCATTGCTAAACTTGGACTTGGCTCTAGGCTGCCCCTCTCAGCCTCCACGACAGTCCCTCTCTGCCAAGTTCTCCCCACAAGGCTGAGTGTGAGGGACTGAGGAGGTGGGCTGCCCTGCTGTCCAGTCAGAGAGGTCTTCAAGGGACCACAGTTGTCACCAGATGGGGTCCCTCTTTGGGCCCTCTGGACTTCCTCACATGCAAGTGAGGGGGCAAGGAGAGGCCTCAACAGGGTGGAAACTGACTCTTCTGTTACCATCTTCTCTCCGGCATGGACCTGGGGAGGTTTTCCCCAGAACTCAGCAAACTTGATCATTGAGTGGGCCCCAGAGACACAGGTGGCTGAGGAAGGAAAGGCAGACTGTGGAACGGGTGAGAGTTGAGCCTTTTTTTAACTTCAATACCATTTACGGACTTGAGGACCCTTAGGGGCAGGCCCCACCTGTGCCTCACCCAAAATCTTGTAATATGTGCTTCCAGCACCTCTCGAGTGTCTGCAAGGAGGAAGGAAATCCTGGGGGAAGTGTTCATGCTGGGTCCCAAACCCTTCAAGATTCTTGGACTTCTGGTTTCCATTTGAGTGTCAGACTTGGGAGAAGCATTGACAGCAAGCCAGGATCGACGCACACTCACAGGGATCAAACCCTCACTGATTTGCCCCAATTTCCTGCTCAAATGGGCTTTCAGTAAGCTTTCTAGATTCTTATCTAAGTTCCTTAGTAAATCTCTTCCTGAGTTACTCCTTGAGAGCTTCAAACCTCTTTCTGACTCCTCAGAGTTCACCTCCCAAAACTTCACTAGGGAGCTTTCTGAACCTCTGGAGAGATCTTTTGGGACCTTCCCCAGGATATGCCCCAGGCCCTTGCCCAGGTCTTGGTTTAGCTGGAACCCCACCTTCTGTGCATCCTTGCTGCTTTCACCTGTAAATGAAGAGGGCTGTGAGGGTCCATGCCTGCCCTTTGCCTGACATGAACCTGGTAATTTGTCCCGAAACTGCCTCAGTTCCAGAGACTCTTGGAGACTGCAGGGCAGCTCCCACTGATGTTGCATGAGCCACTTTTTGAGGTGTTGCTCCAATTGTTCCTGGAGCTCAGGACTGATTGGAAAATTCTCCGGAAGGATGGAGACCACCCAGCAGTCCTGAGGAAGACTGGAAGTGAAGACACCAGAAACTTCTTGAGATCTTTTGACTACAGAGTCTAAAGCCCCCCCACTTTCTAGGTGCTTCTGCAACATAGACCATTCTGGATGTTGAATCTCAGCTGGGATGATAGACTGTGGCTTATTCTGGGGTGCAGGGCAAGATATTCCACAGGCCCTAATCTGGGGTGGAGAAGAAAGTGGTAGGATTGGGGGAGAGGATTGGAGATGGGCATGGGTCTGGACCTGAGCCAGAGGAGGAGGCTGGTATTGAGGTACACTTGGAATCAAGGGTTGAGATTGGACCTCCAGATGGGACAGAGGCTGGGACTGGGAAAGCACTGGAGATATTTTAGCGTGCATTTGAACTGGGCAGGCATTCGAGATTCCATTGAATAAGAAAGAGGGAGATCTTAGTACTGAAGAGCTCTCTGAGATCCAGGCAGTAGCCACCAGGGATTCACTGTGCAGAGAGGGGAGACCCCAGAAAAGCTGGTTATATTTCTTCCGTAGATGGTTCCCCAAGACGTTGGGATATGAGAGCTGCTGAGGCCCAGGCAGCTGCTCTGGTTTGCCTTTTGTGCTCCAGAAGGGTTGGGGGGTTGTGGTGTCCTGCTCAGCACCCAGTGATTTCAACATATTTCCCAAATAATTCATGTGGTATTCTGGGCTCATTTGTTTGGTATATGATCCATTTGTTTCTTTTTCCTTCCAAATCTTGATCTCAACTCTCTTTGTGACTTGTATCTCCAGGGGCTTCTGGTCATCACAGCTGAGCAAAGAGGGATTACTAGCTTCTACCTGTCTGTTTGTGTGATCTTCCCAGAATAACGCTCCTGGTGGGTGGTGAGAAAGGTGCTCTTGCTGGAAATTGCACTGTGATGAGGACATGAAGCACAAGGCCTTGGCAGCCCCCTGCCACCAGGACAGGGCTGAAATGGGACACCTTGAGCAGCCAAGGTCTGAGATGGCTGGGACAGGAGAGGCTGACAAAGACGAGCTCTGTGGGACGGTGCCCAGTGGGAGTTCCCTTGAGTCACACTGAGCAAGAGTCAGAATGGAGTCTGGTGGTCGGGGGGCAGAGGAAGCTGTCGGAGGTGGAGGGCAGGCCTCTGAATCAGGGGGGCATGGCAGGGGAGGGGAAAGAGTGAGTGGCCAGGGTGAAAGGCTGTCCAGGGTAAGGAAAGGCTCTGGTGGCCAAGAGGCACTCAAGGATGAGCGGGAACAAACAGAAACTGATGAGGTCACTGGGTCCAGCCTAAGGGTGGAGGCCAGAGGTAGAGTGTGCTTGCTCAGAGGAGCCGGGGAAGCCAAGAGGGACACGGTGGGAGCAACCTCTTCTACACGCTCCTGGCATGGCCACTTGACTCCAGCAGGCGCTGTTTTACACACCTTGCCAGGGGGTTCCTTCACATGAGAGCTGATGAAAAGCCAACCCTTGTCAGGGAGCTTCCTCAAGGTGGCTGCAGAAGACAGGGAGGCACAAGCTGCAGTCAGGAGCAGACAAGATCAGGGAGGGCCAGGCAGGGTGTAGGCACCTGCAGCCCAGGGTCCCTCCACTGCCCCTGTGCTGACTTCACAGTGCTCCTGCTGTTCCTCACCCCAGGGCTTTAGACTCATCCTGTCCCCATGGCTCCCCCTCCCCAGGCTGCCTGCAGCCCTGAGGTCACATCATAGGCTCTGGGAAGAAGGAGGACCAGGAGAGAAGGGAAAGATTCTTTACCTATGCAGAAGTGAAGCCAGGTCCCGAGCCTCCTCCAGTTCTTTCAGGCAGTCTCTACAAGCTAGAAATCAGGAGACTGGGTCTCGGTGGTGAAGCGGGGGCCTAGGGGTCAGGAGGCTAAATGGAGTGTCCCTTTAGGGGAGACCTTTGAGGGATTAAACTCTGGAGCCCAAGATCAGTGTCCAAGGTCACATGATGTCAAAGCTCATGATGGGTAGCACTTTGTCATTTACAAAGTACTTCCACATCTATCACCACTATGTCACTCACCACCACCTTGTAGGGGAGAAAAGACAGCGTCACCTTACAGAGGAATCTGAGCCAAGTTAACTCATACACAGTTGGACCTGGAGGTCCCACCTCCCAATCTAGGCACTTCTGGCCCACTACAGCCCACACGCCCTTGCAGGGCAGCACCCCTTTGGAGACCCCACAGCTTCACCTGAGCACTCTGTTTCCTGAGGGACAAACTCTGCCACTGGCATCCTCAGAGACTAGAGACAAGGAGCTTGGCCCTCAGAGGCAGGAGAGACAGGAGCTAGCTCTCAGGTGCAGGGCTGAATGGCAGATGCTTACCTCTCAAAGCTCCACTTTTCTTCCTAGTCCTGCTGCTCCTTCCCCTCAGCTCTGTATGATGCTGAGAAGGGAAAAAATGATAAAAGGAGGGGCTGGGGTGCAGTTCTCCGTCTCCTCTCTCTAGACAAGCTGCAGACACTCAGTGCTCATGAACAATATGACTTTCTACATTTAACTAATGGAGCTCTGTCATTTCTCCTCTTTTACTTATTTTTAAAGTGGATAAAAGTATTTGTGGTTTCTCTTCTTTGAAGAACGCAAAGGAGGATTTTCTGTGTGAGACCCACCATGGATTTCTTCCATCCCTGTTCTTCCACTCAAGAAACATACATTCTCAGACCTACAGGCCCATCTGAGGTTCTTCAGCTGGTCTCTGCTTCCAGAGACCAGACCCTGCTCCAGCCACTGCTCAGAATCTCTCAGAGGCTCAGCACTGCCCTCAGATCAGCCCAACAGAGACACCTGCCCCAGGAAGGCAGCTTGTGAACCAGTGCTCAGGGCCTGCCCTCCTGCAGAGACGGAACTCTTAGTATCCAGTCCTTGGCCACTGATCACTGTATTTGGGGCTTTGCCGTGGAGTCTGCTACCACACCTGGACCCCTGGTCTGAGATCTTGGGATAGAAATCCTCATGCCTATTCTACCCCTTGCCTGGCCTGGCTTGTCCTAGAAGGTTGACCTATCCTTCCCAGAGTTCATATCTCTGGAGTCTCTCTAGTTGATTTAGAAAAGCGGAGATAAGAATAAGAGAAAAAGACATAATCTCTGTTCGAATTGAGTCAAAAGTTCCTTACCTTCCTGATGTTTCTGTGCTTCCTGGGTGGTGGTGAGGACAGATTACTCGAGAAGCAGGGGAGTAACAAGAAAAAGAGTCCCAGTCCACACAGAAAGCTGAGGAAGATCTCAATCACCCAGGGAGTGGGTGTGGTGCTCAGCCAGGTAGCACTAATGCTTCTCAGAGAAAAGACATTCTCCTCCATCTTCTGAATCACTCTACTCAATCTACTGGACTGGCCGGTGGGGGAGGGGTGGTGGTTCAGCCTCCTTCTCTTATTGCCTCCTCCCCAGCCCTCAGGCAACTGAGCACTGGGAGTTTGCTAGGGGACAGAGCCCCAGGCTTGCATCACAGAGCTGTGGCCTGTCACAAAGGGTTCTGAGGGTGGGGGAGTAAGGGGAGGAGGCTGAACCACCACGCCTCCCCCACCATCCTGCCCTGTAGATCACTCCACGCTCCTAGCCTTCTAGAGAGCCTCCTTCCAATGTTACTCTCATCCTGTCAGGGTCCTTAGACAATTTTCTACTCATTCCATCTGGGACCCAGATATTACCTGTGTTACCACGCCAGGTTCATTTTTGCCCACCACGTGGAAAGCCAAACACTGAGATGATGAGATTGCAGCAGAAAGAGAGTTTAATCACAAGGCAGCCATGTGAGGAAGCAAGAGCACGAGTCTCAAATCTGTGTCCCCGAAAATGGAGACTCAGGGATATTTATGGGATAGGGGGCAAGGTGGTCTGAAATGTGGAGATAGGTGATTGGAGGTGAGGAGTGGTGAGGTAATTGATGATCTGCACAAGTGTAGTCAGACTTTGTGCCTCTTCATAGGACCCATGTTCACAAAATGGCATTAGAACAATCTGAAGGTGGAGTTTATCCTCTTTACATCACAAGGTCACCTATCAGACATCTGCATAGGCCCAGTTGATGAGTTGGTGGTCTCAACTGGCCTGGAGTGGACAAAGGGGTTCTAATTCCGGAGAGCAACTCAAACACCCATTACCATGGTGACCCAGGCTTCAGGGAGATGTTATCCATAGGAGCCTAGTGGGAGTCAGACAGCATATTACCTAAACAGCACAGTTAACAATGGGTGAGTTAAACAGCTACAACCTATAACCAGTAATTGCAAAAAGGACAAAAATTTTAGTTCCTCGCTTCTTAATCATCAATGGCTAACTCTTTATGGGTTTCACCTGGCTCCCTTTGTTCCTTAGAGATCTTGACCTAAGGCTCATCAATTTCATTACTCTTAAAAATCTGAAGTTGAACCTGGAATTTTAGCTATTTCCCAGAGATTTTTACTCTCATCTTTTTACTTCTTTCTGTCCTCAACTCCAGCTTCCCACATAAGGTTTTTGTCTTGTATAAACCCAAGCACAGTACTTAAATTTCTTTTACATTCATTGAGTTTTGTGAATTTTGAATAGTGTTTGTTTTGTCTCATTTTCTATCAGAAGGACCTACACACAAAAAAATAAAAATAATTTTTATTCATAAATCTAAATTTGAAAGAATTATAAATATTAAACCTTCCAGTGACATTTTTATAAGTTTGAGGCATTTATAATTCTGGAGTTAGTAAAGCTTTAAACTGCACTAAGACTTCTGGGACATGTTGTACAGACAGACACACACACATACATACACATAGACACAAGCTCATCCTTTCACAAGCCAATCCAGTATTTTCAAATCCAAGAATCCATAATTTTGTACTTAAAAAAATTTTTTCACATGTTGTCTTCACCCAATTTCTTCTTATTTTGCCAAAATAAAAACAACACCCACTCTCCACATAAATTTTAAAACGTATTTTCTTAGTCCATTAGGACGCTGTAACAAAATACCATAGCCTGGGTAGATTAAAAACAACAGAAATTTATTTCTCACAGTCCTGGAGGCTGGGAGTCCAAAGTCAAGGTGCCAGCATGAATCACCTTCTAGTGAAGGCCCTCTTCCAGAGTCTTCATGCTGTGTCCTCACACGGTGGAAGGGGGCTAGGGATCTCTCTGGAGGCTTATTATTAGGCACTAATCTCATTCATGAGGGCTCATAAGCACCTCCCAGTGGCCCCACCTCCTATCATCTTTAAGAGTTAGGATTTCAACATCTGAATTTTGGGAGCACACAAACCTTCAGACCTGTGCACATGTGCTATACTCAGCAGCCAGGAGTGAGTTAGAGGGAGCTAAGGTATTGACCCTTAAAGTCTGCAGGTTGGAGGGGGAGACTAGGAGTCAAAGCCTTGGGACCGAGTCAGGTCTTGAACAGCCTATTCAGATTCCCCAGCGTATTCTGTACATATTCCCTTTTTCTGAATGTGCCTCACCTCCCCCTCCCATCCCCTCCAGACTCCTGGAGCCTCAATTCCAGCCTGAACTATATAGAAAAGGAGCTTTGAGTCCTATACAAAATTCTCTTTTGAAACCATTCTGCATCCCCTCACTGGCAGTAACTCAGGTTTCACTGAGGGATTCACATGGTAAATTTGTCTTAATGCTCCATCTGGGCTTAAAAATATTGTGTATCCTCTGATTGTTGGTCACAATGTTTTTAACACAACTTAGTAGGAATGAGGGCATTTGAGTTTGCCTATATTTGTCATGAAGGTGCATGTTCACAAGCACATCTTCTGCATCTACTATTGCTTCTAAGGACCACAGCCCTCTCCTCCTTTATGATATTCTCACCTCAAATTCAACTTTTATCAAAATTTGGGCTTAGATCTTTGTATTTGTATTTACCCTCTCTATTTTCTCCATCACTTTATTTTCAATATGTTTTGTTTGATGGGTTTTCTTTTTTGACATTAAAAATTTTATCTGACAATCTTTACTTTGATTTAATTATTGTTCTATTGATTTATTTCTGTCATCTACTCTATGGCCATACAACCCTGAATGCACCCGATCTCATCTATTTCTGTCATCGTATTTTATGCTTTGTTTCCTATACTTTATTATTTCTTTTTTCCCATCCTTTTGCCTCTTCCACTTTCTGGATCAAATGTTCTTCTGTTTGTTTGAAATTTGGAAATTTTTAGTACTGTAATGATTTTATATCATTAATTATATTAATTTCTTTCTTAGTTTCTTAACATGTGCCAATATTAAAATCATCTCAGCAAGCCAAGCAAATAGTCTCACCTGCTCTGATTTGGCTTTTTTCCATCATGACAGCCTTTATTTCAGGAAGTATTTTCTGGAGCTTTACTTCTTGGTTATTTAGAATATATTGCATTATCATGGATTTTTTAGGATATAATAACCATCACTAACATCAACCCTAGTTTCTACAAACTAATAGCATGTTCCCAGATTTATTTTTCTTCCTACTGGAGTATTTCCTCTAGGAATATTTTCTAACTGATTTACATAAAACTTTTGAGGCCTTATTTTCTAATAACAGCTTTTTCTGTGCCCTCATATTTGAAAGACCTTGGCTGCATATAATTCAAGGCTTAAAATTTATTTCCTTTCAATTCTTTAAACATATTGCCTCATTGTATTCTTGTCTCCACCAGTGCTGTTGAAAAGTCTGATGTCAGTCGAAATCAATTTTTCTTTAATGAATGATCTGACTTTTCATCATTTCGACAGGATATTACCAAAAAAAAGAACAGTGTAAATCACTTTGCAGCTATAAACTTAACTAAAATTTTAATGCAATATGAGAGGAATCAAAATTTTGAGACATTCAAGTGTACAGAAAAATTAACTATCATGCACTCATTCAGGGAAAAAAAATGAAAAAGAAACTTGATGAAAGGGGCAGTCATTAGATCCAAGTACCATTGGACGAACTTGAAATGAACATCCAGGAATTAATGCTGACAGTTGGCAGAGTGCTAGCGAACTGTCTCTCCAAAATTAATCATTTATCAAAGAGAATAATAAGACTTAAGTTATGTTGGTGATGGTGAAAAGATGTTACGTTTCTTTTTGATCATTCAAAATAAAGGTAAGTGAAACTTGTGGAAAAAAGAAATAATGTACCATAAATGTACAAAATTTGAGGAAAACTACCATATTTTTATGAATTTAAGATGACATCTATTATAGGTTGCATGCCTTTTCAGAAATATATTTTAAATTTTATGGCATATAATTTAAAAATAACATCATTTCAAACAATTAATGGAGGGAAAGAAGATAACTAACTTATCTTCTTGACTATTGGAACCTGGCTTTTTTTTTTTTTTGGAGGCTGTGGTATATGCACATATGATTTCGGTGCCTTCCTACAAATCAAATCATACCATCTGCACCTGTAGTTTAAAAAAACACATAACCATGATGCTGTCAATTCATTTGAGATTCCATGATCAAAATCAACCTATGGACAAAGCATGGAAGACTTTTCTATAATTACAAAAGGGAGCGTAAATTACTTAAGACTTTTCATATAAACATCTTTCATAAAAGTTGAAAGGCATGATGGGGAAAGTTGCATGGGAGGGAAGGTGGTCACTAATATCCACATTCTACTGAGCCAATCAATGTTGCTCAAAATGGACAGACTATATATTATTTCAGCATAATATTAAGCACAATAAGTATATATTTAGAGAAAGAAAGAAATTAAAAAACCTTAAAATTATAGGTTAAAGTACTTCTAGGAGAAAAAAGTGAGATAAATGAACTATATTCATAAGAAGTCAATAGATTTTATTTAAAATTGATAAAACAAATTAGATGATTACATAGTATTATTTAGTATTCAAGGGAATACTTCACAGTAAAAAGAGAAAATGATAAAAATTCCTTACTTCTGAAGAGCAGGACCAGGGGTCTGTGGAAGGAAAAAAGCATGTTTTTTGTTTTCATGTATGATTTTCCATGCACATGTATTGCTTCCATTTTAAAAATGTGTTACTTGTAGATCTCCTTGGAATAGTCCAAAAATGACATATATGTGTAAAATTAGGTTTCCTTTAGCCAAAAGTATATGAAAAGAAATTGACTTATCTAACATCTTATGATCCTTGAAGTTAGACATTTATAAATTATAATTTAAATTATAATTTTTGGAAGAACATAAACATACATAAAACAGCCATAACATGACACCTGGCTCTGTTTTCTGCTTATCTAAGAAGTAAAACTCATAATAAAAAATAATAATAGGGCTGGCCCGGTGGGGCAGTGGTTAAGTGTGCATGTTCCGCTTCGGCAGTCCGGGGCTCGCTGGTTCAGATCCCAGGTGCAGACATGGCACAGCTTGGCATGCCATGCTGTGGTAGGCATCCCACATAGAAAGTAGAGGAAGATGGGCACGGATGTTAGCTCAGGGCCAGTGTTCCTCAGCA